GGGGGAGGGGCTGCTCCTCCGCGCTCGCGGCTCCGGGGGCTCGGCTTTGCCGCGCTCGGTGCACTCGGGCGAGAGCTGGAGCGCGGACCGGAGCTCTGATCCCAGCGCAGCCGCCGCGATGAGGGGCGCTCGCGGCGCCTGGCGTTTTCTCTGCGTCCTGCTGCTCTCGTTCGGCCTCCAGACAGGTGGGAGAGTGCGGCGGCACCGGGGCCGCGCCCCCCTCCGCTGCCCGTGCCCCCGAGGGCTCCCCTCGCAGGGGTGTTTCGGGAGAGGTGGCGACCGGTCGGTCCCCAGTGCCCGTGCGTTCCAGCCTCCGGAAAGATTCGAGGCGTCCCTGGAACTGTCCTGCGTCCAGCCTCGCTCACCTGCGCGAGAGGAGCCCCCAGCCGCTGGTGGTGGGGGCGCTCAGCTGGGGTGTCCGGGAACGAGGGCGGCGAGGTGCAGCCTGAGGGCGCGGGTTGCGTGCTAGTTCGGGGTTGCTTCCGTGCCGAGGGTGCGGGGGGCAGAGGCGGGCGGGGAGGGGGTTCGCACCCAGCGCGTTATCTACACCGTGCGAGGCGCGGCCGCTGCTTCCTTTTGTTAAAAGTTGAGCGCGTGTAACCGGCGCACGCGAGGACCGCCCGCAGGTTCTCGGCCGCACCGAGGGCAAAGTTGGAGAGCCTTTTCTTCGCTCTGTGGCTGCAGCTTGGCCACCGCGGGCGTTCTTTGTGCCCCAGAACCGGGGGCAGACCCGCCGCCGTCTCTGCTCGCGGCGTCCCCCGCGGACAGGAGTCGGAGGCTGCGGTGTCCCCGGGACACCCTGGTCATGCTTTTGCCCCAGGAGCGCGCGGCGTGCCGCTCAGGGGCTGTACCCCGCGAACCAGGAGGTGCCGGCTACGGAGACAACTTGGGCAGGGCGTGTGGAAAGCAGCCGCTAGGTTGCAGACTTTTTGCTTTTGTAGATCCCGTGCCGGAGGCTCGCCCCTTCCCACTGCGGTGCCGTTTCTTTCCTGCCACGCGTCTCGCAGCGGCTAGAGGCTGCGTTGGCCGCCTGCTCTCAGGGGAGGCAGGGGCAGAGCGCTGGGACACTGAGGTCCCTGGCCCCGGCTGCCTCTGGCGCCTGGCCAGAGTGGCCGGGCTGGCGGGGCTTTGCAGGCACCTCGAATCGGTGTCCGAGACCTGTAATCGTAGGTCCGTTTTGTTTGGGAATTTTGAGATTTGCAACACCCCCTCCCACGTGATATCTGTACCTGAGGGCCGCTTGAGGTGGGAGTGGGTGGGAGATGGAGTGGAACTTTCTGCAAATCTTGAATTTTAAAGCTGTTGTGAAAATCTGGTTATATCTGTTCAGAAACTTGGGTGTCAAGGTGGAGGAGGAGGATTTGCAGGCTCCTGGAAGCCCCCAGTCAGATTCCTGCCCCTTCCCCTTTTTTTCTGGGTGTCGCTGGTGCGTGAACTAGTGCAGGTCACCCTTACAGCCCCTGAAGCCCTGCTCTCTTCCAGGTCATTTTTTTTTTTTTTTT